TGTGTAAAAATATGCAACTTTAAACATGTCTTAAGATTATGCATAATTCTCTGGAAAATTCTAATGATAAAGATAATAGATGGTGATGATGGTGATGCTGGCAGTAATTATGATTATTATAAGGCACTTAAAATATATTAGACACTGTACAGAGATTAAAAAGTGAGACCGTCCTTGCCAGCAGGCTGACAATCTAATAACAAGATGCAAATAGAAAAAGAACTGGGAAGGGGAAAGGACACTGAGCAAACTACAGCACTGGTTCTTAAAGTGACAATGCCCATCTTCAATGGAGACAGTTCAGGATGCTGAGCAACCAGATGGCAGCTGGTCTTTCAGCTGAGCCAATGGAGTGGGTCTGTCTGCTGATTTCTGCTACTGTAGCCAGATGGAATGGCTGCTAATCAATGGGTTCTGTTCTGAATATAGCAATGTAAATCACATTAGGAATATTCTGATATGTATCTGCAACTGTTCCACCCATACAAATGCCATTTTAAGAAGGAAAAAAAAGCTCCGGGAGAGGCCTCTCTCCACCTGTTGGTGAAGTTGAACTAGAGGATGCAAGAGAGCAGATGCAGAGTTGGGACCTTCTCTGATAGCTCTCTCTCTTTGCACACCTTTCAGGCACTTGTCTGAACAAAATATATTTAGCTCCATTGGCATTTGAGAAACAATTTTTAAAATTGCTTCCTTGAATAGTTTTAAGTCTTGTGTTTGTAGTGGTCATTCTAATTTATATATTGCCATTGTATTAGAAAAATAGAAAATATCACAAACATAGTATCAAGTACATATTTACAAAAGAGAAAAGGTTACGTAACTGTATGTTAGCTTGAAAATCGATATTGTAATAATTAGTAAAATTAGCATTTGAGACACAATTTTTAAATTGCTGAATTGAAAAGTTTCACTTCTGGCATCAGGCCTGAGGAACCACTGAGTCTGCGAAGCACAAGGAACCACTGAATTCAACAAACCTTCAGTCCTTGTTGGACTATAATGGATGACAACAATGGGAAAGTGCAGCTCTGAGCAAGCTGCTTAGAATTTTGGCTACAGTGAGCAGGTAACATCAGTACCTGGGCTGGGGATAAGGATGAAGAAAGCCTATTTTATAATGGGCAGAGAAGACCATCAGTGGGCAGCGCATCAGTGGACTTGGGTTGTTTTGAGAAAATGCTAGTATGCAGTATGTCTGCATGACTCATGTGACAGCCGGAAGCCATGGCAATGGGGGAGTCACCTGCCTCCCCACACCCAGGCTTTAGATCTATCTCAAAATGACATGTGGGTCTGACCATTATGGAGTGGTAAACCAACTGCTAGGCTTGGTTTCAGAGTTTAAACTAGTTTTTTCCAATCTGGTGCCTTCCAGATGGTTCAGACCATAATTCTTACCATCCCCAGTGGCCATACTTGCTGGGAGTTATGGGACTTCGCAGTCCAATAAATCTGAAAAAATCATATAGGAGAAGGCTGGTCTCAACATCCAGCCCATCTGTCTGAACATGTGGTTGATGGACCCCTCAAGCTTAAGCAGGGTCACAGGGCATGGTCTGATGGGACTAGATGCAACTACCTCATTGAAGCTAAGCTGGCATCAGTGCTTGGATGTAGAACTCTTTAAGGAACCAGGATTCCTTTCCTTGAGCTCCATGGAGAAAGAATGGTAGGCCATACAAGTATGACAAAACTGAACAGTAATATTTCGTACAAGGCCATCTGAAACCTCTTTATGTCTAGCTTCATCATGGTACCTTTAGTCCACTCCAGCAGTCCCCAACCTGGTGCCCTCCAGATGTTTGGGACTATGCTTCTGTCATAGTGACTCTTGACTATGCTTGTAGGACTGACGTAAATTAGAATCCAAAACACTTGCAGAGCACCAGGTTAGGGAAGGCTGACAGGCAGCAGTTCTCCAAGAATTCAAGGCATGATTGTTCCCATTTGGACTGCCAAGGACTGTGTTACTTTTTAATGAATTGCATCTTGTCTTCCTTGGCCATGCTGGCAACCCCAAAACCACATGAAGAATTTCACTGGCTTCTGTTTTCTGGAAGGAACCATGCCCCGGTTCCATGTTGCTAACAGAGCTTTGCCATGCAGATTACCCTAACCCATTAATTTCCATAGGTGAGGCTCCTGAGACAGCAGGAGGGGACCATGTCTGGAAGCTGGTTGGTAACAGCAGAACTTGCTGAGCTGCAGGCCCTCTCTCCTCCTCCCCACCCAAGAGCTAACATCTTCAGGATCAGAAGGGTGGTGAGATGGACGCTAATTCTTTCTGGTTCTTTAAGAGCTGCATTTAACCTGGAAGGAGAGGTATTTTTTTAAACAACAGGGCCAAGAAAACAGCAGACCTGGTTTCGGAGAGCTGCATTGGCTTCAAAGCAGGCCTTGCAGTGATGGAATGCAGAAATTCACCTCCGTGTGAACAATGGAAATGATGGCACATCAGAAGATCAGTTTCAGGCCGTACTGCTGATATTTCATGATCATTTTACCCAAGGTAATGCAGCCCAGAGTTATATCCTAAGCAGCCTTTAGGCTTTCCACCTTTTCTTTCTGGATATTGCCTCATGTTGCTGGAAACAGGAGTGAGAGGTATCACTGTCTTCATGTTCTCATGCTTGAAGGATTCCCATAAGCAACTGGGTGGCCACTAATTGTACCATATGCTGGCCCAGAGGAGCCTTTGGTTTTATCAGAACAGATTCCTAATGTTCTTCTAATTCCTTTTCTTTAGTTTTTAGTTCTTAGTTCCTTCCCTAATTTCCTTATTGCTCAGGGTGCCACTAAAAGGGCAGCTGCTAAAATTACTGTAGGGATGCTGTATCTTGGAGCTCTCCATTTATTGCCCCTTAAAAACAAACAACTCTTTATGACCAGACAATTCTGGTCTTTATGATGGCAAAGATAACCAGGCAAACATCCAGTGCAGCCCATGCCAAACCTTAGAGGCCAGCTAGAGAGCAGGGGGACAATTCATCCTCACCGCATGCATATAGCATTTTTCAGATCACATGTGATTAGGACTTGCCATTCTTTTGGGTAACTCATGTTCAAAATACAATTCTACTAGGTAGATTTGTATGAAAGTTCTACCAAGGTTTGAATGATCCCTCCCTAGGTAGACTCCATCCTTTGCAAAGAGTGGTAAATTCCAGAGGAACAGGAGCAAAATCACCAGAGAAACCTTTACAGAGAAGAACCCCTGTGAAGTGTGCAATGTTTCCAAGATCTTTATGTTGTTTACTTGGGCCTTCACCTTGGAAGAGTATTTGATAAGGTATGCTACAGAAGCATAGAGCTGGAAAGCCAGTCCCCTGCCGGTGCCGGAAATTCACTCCTACAGCATCCCTGATAGGTGACATGACTAACCTGTAATTTTAAAAGTGACTCAGTTTCTGATTTCTCAGTTAAACTTTGGATTTTATGGATTCGGTGCAGTAGATCGTAAGGATTATAATAAAAATACATAAGTACTTATTCTGCTCCCCCCCACCCATTTTTGTCACACACTTGATGTTAATTTTCCATGACTGAATGTAATGTTTATTTTATGTGCTGCATGTCATAAAGGGTTCTATTTTTGCAGCAGGTCACTTACATACATACTTTATACATTCTTTTTATACATCAAGTACAACCTATAGATGATTTTGCAGAGGGCTTCATGAAGGCTTTTACATACATAAAATATGCCTATTGCCTGCAAAGTAGTTTACCACACTTGAAAAGATTTGTGCCTGATAATGTTATACCGTTGGATATTGGAACCGTTGGATATTATACCGTTAGAAATCCTTTCACCCTATATAATTGTTTGTGACATAATGCTCTTTTCCACCTCTTGAATTAATGTTTTGTCTTTTACGGGATATGAGATATATAGTCTGTGTTTGACATCCTCTATACTTAAACATTGTAATAGGAGATGGAAAAATATATTTGCATTCATTCCAGGTAATGTAATCATTCAGAATTGCAATTGACTTTTAGGATTTTGGACACTTTCATTTTGTTTGTATTTAAATATATCCTCAGTTATATTTTCAGTGGTTGCCTTTTTGCTGTCATGTTGACAGTTTCTTTTACAACTTAAAGTCTTGCTGACTATTTTGGATCAAGCTTCAGAATTTGCTGCTTTTGCATTTGCTTTCCCACCCTAATTCCAACAGCATTCTGAATTGTAGGGTTGGTGCAGGGTTGTGAAAGTAAGCAAAAGGGTGGAACGGACACAAGTTAGGGCCACTCTTTTATCACCTCGCACTTCAAAAACTATCCGGTGACTTGAAACCGAAGATGAATGAATAAATAATCACAATCGAAAGGGCACCCCCAACTCCTTTCTCAGTTGCACCAAGTTGATTTTGTGGCTTGGCTTGCTGTTCTGTGATCAGTTTCACAGCAAGGACGCGGGGGGGGGGGGGGCGTTGTTGTTGTGGCAGGTTCTCTTTAAAAAAAAAGGAAGAAGTAAGTACCTCTTTTGCCGTGTGACAGTTTCCTGCTTCTGGTGAATGTGTGTTTCTGCGTGTTTGCATTATCAGGAGCAGGAAACAGGAGCTGGAACAGCAAGTGAAACAGAGAGGGGAGACTGTACCAGGCCAGCCGGCACAGGCGGCGGCGGCGGCGGCGGGGGAAGAGGACGCTTTGCAAACATTGCCTCCCCTTCCACACCGCGATCGTCACCTCTCCCCCCGCCTTATTTCTGGCAATGGGGAGGTGTGGCAGGGCCGCCGTAGGCCACAAAAGGTGATGCCACCACGTGGGACGCGTTGTGGCGCTGCCAGCCTGATGAAAGCACACTTTATGGTGTGAGCTTGGGGGAGGGGGAGCCGGAGCGCGATCCGCCGGGGAGCGAGGGGGGTAGGGGGCCGAAGAAGCAACAAAAACAAAGGGGGGGGAGTCGCTCCCCGCACCGGCGGCCCCACAGCAAGCACCTCCCCACAGCAGCCCGCTTGCAGAGTCTTCACCGCCTCAGGATGAAGGAGCGTTCCCGACCAAGCTGGGAGGTGATGTAAGTCCAGCCCCCCCTTGCATCGACCCCCCCCCCTTGCGTGCAAGAATCCGTCTGGCGAGCAGGATAAGGGCGGCCGGGGGGGTGGGGGAAGCATTTGTGGGGGTAGCAAAGGTGGTGCCTTGCCTAGGCAGGCGCTCCGGGCACTGCGCCCCGGGGGGGATGACGAGGCTGCTCCCCCCCCAGGAGGGGGGAGGTCCACCCACACGGCTCCCCCCGGGGCGCCCCAGGGCAGCCAGCTGGGCGCTCCATGGCCTCGGCCCAGCACCTCCCTGGTAAACGGGGGGGGGGCAAGGGGAGGGCGCTTCTTAAGCACACGCCCAGGCTCCCCGTCCCCGGTTATTTGTCTGCTCTCCCTCGCTCGCCATTTAATTGTGTGGCTGATGAGTCCCCATTTCTCCCTTCCCTATGTGTGCCCCTCTTAGCAGCTGCCCTCGCTCGGTTTCGTGCTCTCTCTTCCCAGTTGTATGTTGCCCCCGGAAGACTTGTGCCTCTGCCCATCACATTTTTATGCCGCCGCCCTCCAGGTTTGCTTGCCCCTCCCGCCGGTCCCCATATGCACTGACCGCCCCCCCTTCCACGCTGCCCCTTCAACTTCGCTCAAGCTGATCTTTAAGCGGCTTTCCCTCCGAGGAATCTACCCCACTCCTTTTTCCCTGTGTGCACCCGCTCTTCCCCCATTTCCCACTCAGGTGACTTGCATGCTGTCCCCTCGCCCAGCCCCACACTGCCCCTGCATCCCAACTAATTTCCCCTCCCTATGCCCCCCTCCCCCGCATAGTACCAATAATCTGCAGCCACTACTCACTGCTTTCCCATCCTGTTCCTGACTCTCGGCATCTGTTACTTTCCCCCTCCCTGACTTTCCATTCGTTTTGTACTTCTGGCTCCTGGGTCAATGCATCCCCTTCTCCTAATAATCTTTTCCCCATCTTGTACCAAACTGACATCTAAAAGAAATGCTCCCATATTCCCATTGTATTTCTTGGCCTTTCCATCCTTCTGCTCCCACTCCTACTCAGTGTACACGATGTACAGCATCTCACACCATCTTGGCTCGATGCCTCCAACAGTTATTTCTCCCCCCCCCCCCCCACCAATAGCTTTCCATCTTCTTGCACTTCTCTTCCCTGGATAGGGGGTCCTCTCCCCCTCCAGCCCTCTCTGGTGGTGTTTTTGTGTCCCTCCCCACACATTCTTCATGCTGGTTGCCATCCCATCGCATACACTGAACTGCCTGCTTGTTTAATTGGTCCATTCTAGATGGAAGCCAGGTAGGAAAGACATGCATTAAGGAAGGGTTGAATGAATGCTTGTGCCAAAATGCCCTTGCTCCATAGCTTTTCACAACACCATTGGATTCCAGGCACCACGCATCTCTCTGTGCCATGACGAGTTGCTTCTGTTCTTGCCCCCCTTCTTCGCTCTACCCTGTTCTGTGCCAAATCACCCCACCCCAGCAACTTCCTACCACTCTTCTGTTTGTTTTGATATTGCCCCAAAGCAGATCCTCATCCCACCCCCGCCTAATCGAATTGTACAAAGCTCATCCTGGGTTGACCCTTTAGAATATGATTTGTGAAGCGGTAATAGAGGAAGAGTGCCTCTGAGTACATGCAAAGTGAACTTTGCTCCCTGCTCACTTCTGCATGTCAGGGATGGTGGAAAGTGTGGCTTCTTCGCAGCTCCATGACTGGCCTAGTAGGTTTGTGATGCACAGGCTGCTGCTTCCATGTCCTTGTAGTTTCCTTATCTGGCTCTTGCAGATTATATCTCCTTGCAACCTGGCGGGGAGGATGAGGGCAGGAGAATGGGAGGCTGCTGCAGAGGCCTGTGTGTTCTGAGTCTCTATCCTTGGTCCACATTTCCTCTCATCCCCCCCCCCCATCCCCAGGGTTTTTCAGGTACCTGGTCACAGGTTTGAACCTAGGCTTTCTGCAGTTCTCTATCACCAGTGGCAACCTGATGCTGTAGCATCTGCAATCCTTTGCCAGGGCTGACTTCTCTAGGGCTAACCTTGCTAGGAGGCAGTATCAGCTCCAGGTTTTGGATGGCCCTGGAGAAAGACATGCCCATGGGCTCCCTTTGCTCAGTGGGTCTATGTCCTTGCTGCCATTGGCACGGGCTCCTCTTGCCCCTGCTCCTCTTTCGCACAACTGCTACCATTTGCTTGCTTGATGTTCAAGAGGGTCGGGGAACAAGCAGGCAGGGGCATCTGCTGCTGCTCCTCTCACCCCCACTGTTGTCTGGGCTTTTGGAAGAGCGAGACGATCAGGCAGGCTGCACTGGTGAAGAGGAGATGCTTGCCGCAGTGGGTCCTTGCTGGGGTGTGAGCCCTTGTCCAGTCACAGTGCCAACTCTGCTTGTAGGGGGCAAACTTTCAACATCATCAAAGGCAACAGAGTGAGGGGCAGACACACCTGACTGGGAGCCCAGCTTAGTGGGAATTTCTTCAGGACAATCCCCATTGAAATGAATAGGACTTGACAAGTGCATCTCTTGGAATATGCTTGAATGCTAGGATATGCAAGGTAACCAGTAAGAGTGCATCTGCACATGTGCAGAGTGCTTATAGTAGGCCCTATGATCAGATGGAATAAGCAGATATTCTCCATGCACCTGCAGTTAGAGAACAGCACTTTTAGATCTTTTTACTAAACTTTCTCCTTTTCATCCCACCCTTTTTTATGTGAACAGGTTCTTCCTAGTTCAGTGGTCATCAGATTGTGGTCCCAGGTCACTTGTGGTATCTGGAGTTCTTTCAGGTAGCCCCTGAGACCATGGTGTAAATCAGAGGGGAAAATGCTGAAGGGGGAACATGATTGATTGGTTTAGTGCAGAATACTTTCTGTCTGTGTCTCTCCACTTCAATGCTACAGATGGGGTGTGCAGCAAAAGGTTGTAGGGTATCCTCAATGTTCCTCTTCTAGGTAACCAGTCATCTATGTCTTCCTCCAGGATATTATAAGCTGGAAAGGGCTCCAATAGCCTTTACTTTCTCCCCACACTCCTCTTTCAGTTTTTCATGCTTTCTTTTCATCTAATGCTCCCAGTGACCATTCTGCACATTCTTTGCCTTCATTGGGCTTTTTATAGGGGGAAGTTGCTCCTCTTGGGTTTTTAAAACCTCTACTTCTGAAACATTTGTGGTCATCCCCTGGCTGTACTTTTAGTTCCCAGTAGCCCCAGTCTGGATCCATTCCTTTCAGCACAGGAGCACCCAGTTTACAAGTAAAAGGAATGCTAGAAAGAAGCAAAACAGAACAGTGGTCCTCAGTGTAGCAAAGTTTAAGAGCTTCGGAGTGCTGCAAAGAGGCAGCGGTGTTGGATACGCAGATCATCTCCTCTCTTCTGCCCCAGTGTGAGAGAAAATCTTAACCTTTAGACCGTGCCATCTGCATACCGTGTCTACACAATGGTATGCAGGAAAGGAATTCTTGGCAGCTAGTCCTACAGTTGTGGAACTGCATACATCATCCAGCTGCAAATGCATATTTGGTGCCATTTAGGCATGTGGGGGGGGGGGGGAACCCTGGCCAATGCAGATGTCTCCATTCATGTATATGTCTATACTGAGGGTTTGCAAATGGATATTTCCTGCATGCATATATTACCTATTTAATATTGACATAGAAAATGCACTCTCTGTTCGTCACACTTGCAAGTATCCCTGTGAATCTGTGGATTCTTACAGCATATCATGCAAACTAAATATTAACTTTCTTATCACCTGCTTATTAATTGCCAAAATTCAACATTTCTAGATTCTATAACTGTCAAGACAAACTTGAATGAGCAAAGCCTCATGAATTCTTAGGAATCTAAAAAGAGGGCATGTAGTAGGGAATATTTGTTATCTTTGACCAGTACAGTTCTCTGCCTCTTTCCCTGAAATGCAGAAAAAAACCTGGAAAAAATGTGTAAATTATATGCAAGTGTCCTATTTTGCATGCTTTCCTAAAGGTTTTAGGACTGAAGTTTGTTTGTTTTTGGGTGCTGAAATTGGCTGTGCCAAATTCCTGAGCACATTCCTGTTCAGAAAGGGATGTGGGGTTAGATAAATGACCCCATGGGATTCTTCCCAATTGAATGGTCCTAAGTAACATTGGTAAGCCACTCCTTACCAAACAGCATTCACTTTGGCTGTCTTTCTTTCTAAGGGGAATATTGCTTCTTTTTCCCTGCTGCCACTTCCTTAGCCATGATGAGGAAGTATTTTGCCTAATTGCTTTTGATTCCCTGGCCACCTTTCTTTTCCATTCTGTCACTGAAGCAGTGTCAGGCAGGAGAAATTTCTGGTTCCATGGGGGCGAAAAACAGAGCACAATCCGAACAGCATGAGAAGACTTCACAACCTCTTGGTAGCCACAGTTAGATTTACAGACCTGCAGGCCACAAAATCAGCCATCCTCCAGAAATGATGGGCTGTAGCTTCCATCGTGCTCAGCAGCTAGGAGTTACGTGACTTGCAGGCCAACCCATCTGGAGGGCCCCAGGCTGGAGAAGGCAGGAATAAACGAAGAAGCTGAGCTATGGCAGAGGAGACTGTGCCAGCATCTAACCTAGATTTGTCTGCTCCGGCTGGAAACAGCTCACCAGAAAGGCGCTTTCCCCTTACCCTGTTATCTGATCCAACTAACTGGAGATGATATGACTTGAATCTGGGATTTTCTGCATGCAAAGCATGTACCAGCTCCTCTTTTTTTAATTGAACTGGTGGTATTCTGCACATATCCCAGTTTGGGTTCAGTTTCTGCTGCCCAGGAGCCTAACATTTCATGGATTATCACTGTTTCACCAGTTGAAGACAAGTGGAATCTTGTGTATTTGAACCAAAACAGCATGGGTCAAATTCAGACTTAGTCATATTTCACTTGGAGCCATTGGAACCATGAATAATTCAAGTCCCATCCATTTCAGTGGATCTATTCCCAGGTCTGGAACAAACCTCATGTCTTGGTTCTAAACTGTTGGCAAGTTATGCACCAACCACAGCATAG